CAAGCCTTTTCATCTTCAGTCTCTGGTTTCATAGATCCTGTGCTTAGCCGTTGAATAATGTCTGCCAGGGTGGAGTCTTTGATGTTCAGAAGCCGGTTGGCTATTTCACCAAACTTGTTCTTGTCTGCCAACAAATATCCAGCTGTGGTGGATTTTTTGATCTGCTCATGATTTAATGCAACCAGTGGAAACAATGGTTCTAGTTGAAAGCGCTTATCATGGTACATCAGCAGTTGTTGCTTTCTCCGCTCCTCAGAGACAGGTCGACACCCGCTTGCAGAATTATTCAGTCCACCTAAGCCATATGGAAATAACCATGGGAACATCTGAGGATATAGCTGAGGATTGTGGTATAAACTCTCTGGTTCTGCTGATTGACCTATGCCCAACACTTTGCCTCCAGATTTGAAGTGTTCAATAGCTCGTGCAGTGATCTCATATGGTCTGACTTTTCCCATGTGCTCAAGGCTTGCTCCTGTTAATCCATGCACAACAAAAGGACAGGCTCCATCATCTGCACCTTCATCTTCTTCACTTGCATTTACAGCTGACGCCTCAGGATCTGCATTGGACTCCATGCTCTTTGAATAGTTTACAATCACAGGCGGCTCATCCTCAGGATATGAATTGATGTTGTCATAAGATATCTCGAGATCAGCATAGTCAATGTGATTGAGTTTGAGCCATTCAAGCGCATCCGCCACTTTGTTACGCCGTACTAGCATGGGTGTGCGCTTATACTCCTTAGAGGTTGGTTGGTTAGGTCCAAGGTACAAGAATGCTAACACTTCGCTCAATTCCTCACATCTAGGTGGCAGCACAGAATATATCTTGGGCATGGGAAGTGAATGACTGACTACATTAGCACGTAGCTTGGACATTCCGGACATGTGGACCTTGACAATGCAGTGGTTATGCTTTACGCGTGCTATCAGCATTTTCTCAGTAAAACTCAAATTTTGTAGCTGGGGTGGGACCTCTCCAAGCCATAGGCCATTTGCCAGACTGTCTGCCGGGGTGCGGCCTTCTTTGAGTTCTGATAAGCATGACTGACAAATATAATCACAGCCAGGAAGAAGAATAGGCCCAGTCATCTCAGTTATCGGGTCTGACAATTTTAATCGCTCACACCTAGTAATTGGATCATTACTGCGCAGAAGATTTATGTCATATTCCTCGTCTGATCTAGGTGATAATAATTTCTGAGGCACCAACTGAGCACACACTGCACACGCTGACTCAATAAAATTATTTGTAGAGATGTCATTTGAAAATCCATCAATGGCTTCTGCTATCAATTCACTAGAAGCAGGCTTTGGTGGAAAAGGTATGTTACCACATGACTGTATTGTCTTTCTTGCTCTCAATGACTGCATTCTTTCTTGACCAGAAATGATCTTTTTGGATGGGTTGAAGACACATATAAAGGGTTCACAATTGAAGCAATGATGATCAAGAAGTTTCTGTACTATATAATCACGTGATTTATGTTTTGACATTTCAGGCAACTGATGCTTATGAGCGATATCCAATAGCAGAGGCTTTGAGAGCCTAGACACTAATACAGAAATAGGCAATTGTGCAAACACAATGTCTGACTGTGATGTCTTCCATGCATCAACATTTGCTGGTAAGTAACTCACAAAATGGTAGCGACAATCCTCTCCATTGATGTTGAGCTCATTGTTATAAGGAGATAATTCCAACCCAGACCAAACATTGCTATATCTGCCTTTGTATCTTTTTTTGGGCAATACCGCTCCTCCTGTCAGCTGAGGCTTTACTGGTCTATCCATCATGGTATGCCTATAGTGCACTTTTTGCAGAAATCTGTAAGGAACATAATTACTGCAGCAGTTCTGTACCACTACTTTGAAGTCATGGGTGTAGTAAAATTGTCTTGTCACTATCAGTTTTACCCGTCTAGCAATGTTTATTGTAGACTGAGCAGTGCAAAAATAAACCCTATGTGAATTCTGCGGTTCATCTGATTGCTTAATTCTCATCTCAAACTCTAATATAGATTTTATTCTAACAGTGTTGTAGGTTTGCGTCAACAGGTATTTATTGTTATACAGGTGACTTGTCATGCAGGTGTCCCTTAAAACCTGGTGTGCATACAGGGACCTTGTTATGGAGGTGGTCCCTGAAACCTCACTGCAGCTGGGCAGTAAAGCAGCGGCCTGTGTCTGTGATACAGGGCTGACTGGGCTGCAACCCCAAATGCTCCGGTCAAAGGAGACTTGAAAGGGTATACCTATACATGCATCAGCAATGCAAACCAACAACATATATTGTTTATATTATACTCACCTTGTAACACACCAGTGTTGAACTGGTCGTATGCGCAGACACTAATCTGTGAAGTAATCAAAGCGGAGTGTTGCTGAGTGCTGTGATATAGCAGCCATTGACACTGAGCCAGAAGACTACTATACCACAGCAGCCAGTATAAAACTTGGGGGGTTTGCATGGTGGGAGATGATGAGAGTGAGAAGTAAAGGTGTATAATGCGCGTGCCAAAGTTCAAAGTTCAACTTGCTTATGTAACTGATCTCACATGACCAGGCTCTCACGTGCCATTCAATATGACCCGTTGACTCCAAATATATGCAAACACAGGTACATGTGCACTACGTATTACTGCTCAAGCTCATGCTGCATACAAAGTGTTAATATAAAATGTAAACATGACCAGAAAAATCAATATTTACCGGACAGTATGGCCCTTCAATGGCGGTATATATCCGCACAGGATGCTCATAGACTTGGGGACTGAGCGGGTCGGAGGGGTCCGGAATGTATGGACCAACCCAATCAGAGAAGGGGTCAGTGTCGAAGGTTTGACCGTCAAAATGATCCAGATTATTGATGCCAAATTGAACAGGCGTGTCTGGATTGAAAGGTGGCGGCTGGAGGACATGGAACATGTGGCCATACCCAATGCCACCCTGCGGGTCATCCCAGGTGATGCCGAGTGGCCGCCAGTGCAGATACTGGAGGTAGAAGCGTCGGAGATGTGGGAGGGTGGCAAGGAGTTGTGTGTGGATTAAGATGTCGTGGGGAGTGAAATCGTAGGCCTGCAAGAATGTGCCCAAGTCCGCTGCATCAACAAATGTATCCAGGTCGATGTCGAAGGGGACGGGGTATGGGAAAGCCGGAGTGTCGATGAGCAGCGTACGAAGGTTTCGGAAGGGGGCAAGAACATATAGGAGCCACGGCAAGGAGTCCCAAGGTGATGGCCCAAATAGGTGAGAGACACCCTACAAAAATGTCAGTAATTAAGCATGACCAAGAAAATATGCACGCACAAACTGGCCCAACCCATAGTTGCACTCATCCTTGAGCCGCAGTGTTTGGATGCGGCAGAGGGAGGGTCTCCACCAGTGTCCGGCACGGCTCAGCATTGTTGTGGACGAGTTGTCGCTGATGACGATGTTGAGTTCCGTCCAGTTCGTCATGTATGGGGTGGCACGTTGAGCAATTTCCCAGAGCAGAGGGCCATTGTCAGTCTCATTGTGCAAGTCGACCTCGAGAAGATAAAGATTGAGAAAGTTGATGTGGACGCGCCGCGGATCACCACCGCTGAGTACACATCGACATCCACGCTCTTCAAATGCTATGACATCCAAAAAGAGGCTGTGAAGTTGGTGGGCCGTGCAGATGCTCAACGCGGTGCGGGGAAAGGGGCGGGATAAATGGTGGTAGAAGTCCCTAGACACCGTGCGCAGGGCAAGGA